AGAGATCCACCTACCTCTGCCTCCCAAGTGCTGGGAATAAAGGCGTGCGCCACCACACCCAGCTTTTATTTTTTATTTATTTATTTATTTATTTATTTTGTCTTTTTGAAGCAAGGTCTCCCTGTAGCCCCAGCTGTCTTGGAGCTCACTATGTAGACCAGGCTGGCCTTGAACTCACAGAGATCCACCTGCCTCTGCCTCCTCTGCTGGGATTAAAGGCGTGCACCACCACGCCTGGTGAATTTTTTTTTGAACCCAAGAAAATCAGAAATTACATAGTCTCTGAGATCTGAATCCAAATCTTTCAAACTTCTGAACTTATGTTCTAATCTGTTGTATTTTATTTCTATACTAGTGTGTACTGATTGACAAGTATCCCAAGGCTGACCTGCTGATGTCACAAGATATCTTTTGATCATTGAAGACATGAATTTCCAATTCTGAGGGGCCCAGAACTTAGGAGAGAGCAAGTTATATAGCATAGAAAGTAGTTCTTAATCTGAGGGATCATTACAATTTGAGAAGTCCTTAGAGTTTAGGAGAACAGGAAGGCTTTAGGTCACTGGATCTTATTTCTGGCCTGAATCCTCATGGATGAATATGCTCCCATTCAAAGCACTTAGCTCACAACTTCTTGGAAATATGAGAATTCTCTGTTTGCTTTTTTTTTTTTTTTTTTTTTTTTCCTGAGACAGGGTCTCCTTGTAGCTCCAGCTGGCCTGGAACTCACAGAGATCCACCTGCCTCTGCTTCCCCAGTGCTGGGATTAAAGGTGTGTGCTACCTTGTCTGGGTCTCTGTTTCCTTTTTAGGTTGAATGTTATTCTTCATAATTAATTCTGCTAACTAGGAGTCCTGGTACAAGAGCTGTGTGGCCTTTTGAGGGAGAGGAGGAATACAAGGATTAATCCTTCTGAGGCTAGATAATGCCACCTCCAGGGCTCTTGGTTCCCTGCACCAAATTCAAAAGCCTCTTCTAGGAGATTTGGAGCTGACTCCTCATGGAGCACAGAACCATCTCGCTCTTAGTACCTACACCCTCCCAGGGCTTCAGGCCTCCTTGCACCTTGACTATTGGCAAGAGATTGGTAGGCTGTAGTGGAGCCAAGGAAGTTAGCTTGGACAGCAGATCCCTATTTACAGCCTTGGCAGGGAGAGCCTGTCCAATTTCCAGTCACCTTCAACAGTCTCTTTATCTTCTCCTACTTCATTTCTTCCAACTAGAGCTTTCCCCAAAAGGCTCTTGCTTTTCCTCACAGCCCCACCCTTTCTCCCAGTCTCACTGTGTTCTGTTCTCACCTCTTTCTCTCTGCCCCTACTTCCTGCTACTCTTTCACAAAGTGGACTGGTCTTTCTGGTGAAGTCTTAGTAGCCCAAACCTGCTCTCTGGGTTGGGATTAAATGCAAATCTATTGCTGAATCTTATCAATTCCCTGGCTCCTGTTCTGACCCTGGGAGTGTGCCCCTCATGTATACTTGTAAATGGGAAACATGGAGACTAGAGATGAAGCTCAGTGGCAGAGCACTTGTATTAGGCCCTACATTAATTCCCATTCCAAAAACAAACAAACAAACAAAAAAACAAAGATGACAGGGTGGAGGATAAGTTGGAGTATACATTTGTAGCAACTTCAGGCTAACTTGGGTTCCAGTGCCTCCCTTGGTCAGTCCTGAATTGGGGTTCCCCCTACTTTGACACCTCTGCTGTGCTAGGGCTACTCCTGGCCTGTGGAATCAGGTTTCATAATTCCTGGAAGGCCCCAGTGCAGCTCCCCACCCGGAGATTTCCTCCTTGGCTTTTGTACCTCATGCTCCGGAAACAGCTACTCAAGTGGTAGGTGTAGACAGCCCAATCCTGAGAGAGAGGGTCACTTGCTGTGGGCATTCCCACCCCACCCCTGCAGCCACTGCTACTGATAGGCATTTTGGCAATCTGAGAGCAGTCTGGCTAGTTCCTTAGCCTCCCTGAATGTCAGTGCTACATCAGCAAGCCAGGGACTATGATCCTCAGCCAGCTGGGGAAAGGCTTACAAGAGACACAAAGCCTTTTTATAGGTGCTAGCTGTTTTCCTAGCCTTGAAGCCTGCATCTCAGTACCCACTCCCATCCCCTTGTGCAGTGCCTTCATGAACATTGAGCTACACAGTCTAAGTTATTTTGTGGCTATTTTTCAAATGGGTCTCATGAGACTGGCCTTAAACTGCTGATCCTCCTGCCTCCAACTCCCGAGTGCTAGGATTATAGTCAAGTCCCACCATGCTTAGCTTTTATAGGTTTTTTTGGGTGTTTGGTTGGTTGGTTGGTTTTTTGGGGTTTTTTTTTTTTTTTTGAGACAGGGTCTCCCTGTAGCCCCAGCTGTCCTGGAACTCACTGTGTAGACCAGGCTGGCCTCAAACTCACAAAGATCCGCCCTGCCTCTGCCTCCCAAGTGCTGGGATTAAAGGCGTCCATCACCACACCTGGCCTTTTTTGGACTTTTTTGAGAAAAGGTCTCTCTCTAGCCCAAGCTGGCCTGGAACTTGCAATGTAGACCAGGCTGGCCTGGAACTCACAGAGATCCACCTGCCTCTGTCTCCTGAGTGCTGGGATTAAAGGCATGTGCCACCACACCCAGCTGGTTTTTTTTCTTTCTGTTTTTAATATTTTAATATTTATTTTGTTATGTGTATGAGTGTATTGCCTGTATGTGTGTAAGTGCACCCATGTCGTGCAATGCCCTCGGAAGTCAGAAGAAGGCATCATATTCCCCTGGAACTGGAGTTACAGATGGTTGTTAGCCACCATGCTGGGAATCGAATCCAAGTCCTCTGCAAGAGCAGTCAATGCTGTTAACCCCTGAGCCATCTCTCCAGCCCCCCAGCTGGTTTTTTAAAATAACCTTTTCATGGTACTTTTTCAGTAGACTAGAACATGTATAGAGACTTATGAAGATGCTTGCCCAGCATGCATAGAACCCTGAGTTTGGTCCTCAGCATTGATTTTAAAAAAGGGGGTGTATGTGTGCAGAAAGTAAATGTAGAGTCAGTGAATTCTTACATACATACTCATACCTATGTTGACATCAGCCAAGTCAGGGCAAGATTCAGAACATTTTCAGCACCCTAGACACCTCTCTCATGTTCCTCCCCTGCATTTATGTTTAAGAGTCCTTGAGGCAAACCTGGGTATTGGGACATGCTTTAATCCCAGAACTTGGGAGACAAAGGCAGGTGAATCTCTGTGAAATCAAGGTCAGCCTGGTCTACATAGCCAGCTTCAGGCCATCTGGGGCTACAGGAAGATCCTGTCCCCCCGCCAAAAAAAATCCTTGAGGCAAACTGGGTATGGGGGCGCACACGTATATAGTACTCAGAAGGCTAAGGCAGGAGGATTGCAAATTCAAGGTGAACCTGTGATAGCTAGCAAGACTGTTTCAAAAAATTAAGTGGGAACTGGAAAGATGGCTCAGTAGATAAGAGTGCTATTGCAAAAGCATGAGGACCTGAGTTCATATCCCAGCACCCACATAAAAAGCCAGGCATGGTCATGTGCACCACGTGTACCCAGCACTATGGGGGAAAGGAGACGAGAGGATTGATGGGACTTGCCATCAGCCTAGATCCAAGTTCAGTGGGAGACCCTGTTCCAAAGGAATAAGGTAGAAAATGATAGAGCAGGACACGTGATGAGACTCTGTGCTGTACACTCCCACACAGATGCACACTTGCATACACACAAGTGTCCTCATGTTATCTATGGCGTAGTATTCCTGCTTCATCCATGAGAAGATAGGCCAGAGACAGGAGAGTACACAAAGGATCTTAGGACAGAGCCATGTGTGGCAGAAGCACCTAGGTATGCATAGGGCTGGGACTGAAGAGTCAATGCCTTTCTGGTAGCAAGGTACCCTGGAAGCCTCTTCCCTCTCCTGTATCCCCAGGGCCTTAAGCAGAAACAGGAACTGGAGCTCCCATAATGCACCTTTTGACATTAAAAGAAAAAGTAGAAAATGAAACTCAGACTCACATTGGGATCTATAGACCCTTGGGCAGAGCATTCCATGTGGTTTAGGACTCTCTTAAGATTCCCTAGTCCTGGGCTGGGCAAGGTGGTGCATACCTTTAGCAGCACTCAGATTCCTGAGATTGAGGCCAGCCTAGTCTACATAGTGAGTTCCAGGCCAGTGGGGGCAATAAGGAGACCCTGTTTAAAAGACACAAAACAGTGCTGGGTATGGTGACACATGCCTTTAATCCCAGCACTCAGGAGGCAGAGGCAGGCAGATCTCTGAGTTTAAGGCCAGCCTGGTCTACATAGTGAGTTCCAGGTCAGCTGGGGCTATAGGGAGACCCTGTCTCAAAAAGATCAAAAGAGATTCCCTAGTCCTGGGCTTTCAGTAAGAATGCAATTGGCCTGTGCAGTTTAGTGAATGACCTTTGCCCTCTCTTGCAGATTTCCCATGTGCGTATGCAGGGGCTCCTCTTACTGGTCTTTGCCAAGTATCAACATTTGCCCTTCATCCAGATTCTCTCTACAAAATCCACCCCCACTGGCCTCTACGGGTACTGGGTAAGGACTGAGCTCTTGTCTGAGGCATGAGCTGAGAAGGGCTGAAAGTTTTAGTGCTAGGCAAAAGAAAGAGGAAATGAACTGAGTCTGAGTACTCTGTGCAGCTGCGTGTTCCTTCTTCCCCCTTACCCCAGCAGGGCCTAAATACCCTTCAGACCTTAGCTTGGGTGGATTGGGCTTTCCACATGGAGAGATTGACTGGGAAGCTGGGTGTCTGTCACTGGGAAGTCCTGGGGGAGGTGAGACTGTCTCCCCTTGGGCCTAGAATGGGAAAAGAGGGATGTGTGTACAAGCAATATCTTCCACACTTCTACCTACCGATCCCACCAGGGGAACAAAGGAGGAGTCAACATCTGCCTGAAACTTTATGGCTACTATGTCAGCATCATCAACTGCCACCTGCCTCCCCACATGTACAACAATGATCAGCGACTGGAGCACTTTGACCGAATTCTGGAGAGTCAGACTTTTGAGGGATGTGATATCCCCAACATCCTGGACCATGAGTGAGCCTGGAGCTGCAAACTGTCACCCCCACCCTTCCCCACGCCAACCCAGGCTAGCATCGACTGCTCAGTCTCTGCTCCCAGCCAGTCAGTAGTGTTCCATCTCCTGCTCTCTCCCAACCCCTCTCCTGATTCTGCCTGCTGTCTGTCCCACCCAGCTTTGCTTGCCTGAGGTCTCCCTTCCTCTGCCCCCTCTGGCCCTCCTAGAAACCCTAAACACTTGTAAACATCCCCGGTCAAGACCTTTGTGGTTCTTTAGTTCACCATGAGGGCTGTTTCTCAGCCTGCCCAGGTGTCCAGTTGGGGGTGGAGTATAGAAGGGAGAGGTAAAGCCTGCTCTGCATTTGCCATATGCCCTCTGGCCGGGTCCTTTAGCTTGAATCATGGTATCAGAGCCAAGAACAGTTCTGTTGGACCCATGCATGTCCTTGCCTTCACCTGATGCTCTCCTAGAGTCTGGCTTCTCCCCTGCCCCCCTTGGCTTTCTACTTCCCAGTAGCCCTTGGGCTGAGCAGGCCTACTCCCCTTTACTGACCTCATCAAAAATCCTCAGGCTGCCCTCCTTTTTTTCTGAAGCCTCATTCTATGGTTCGGAGACATGAACTTTCGGATCGAGGATTTGGGGTTGCTGTTTGTTCAGAAATGCATAACAAGGCAGTACTACCATGAGCTGTGGGAGAAGGATCAGGTATCAAGTGAGCAGAGGGTTTGTGTGTGTGTGTGGGTGTGTGTGTGTGTGTGTGTGTGTGTGTGTGGTGTCGGGGAGGGAGGGAGGTCTGAGCCTATTCTGGACATCTTTGTGAAATGTGCAGAGAGCAGTGCTTAAATTGTTTGGGATCTGTTCTTTTCCTGTGGCTGGAGAGAGGATTCCAGTCAAGCTATCAGTTTTTGATTTTCACCTGGAGGATCCATTGGTATGCTCAAGACTAGGGAACCAGGCTGGGCATGACTGCTCACACCTGCAAACTCAGCACTCAGGAGGCTAAGGCAAGAGAATTGTGATTTCTATGCCACTTGGCCTACATAATGAGTTCCAGCCAAACGTGGGCTACTGTTTAAGATCCTCCCCCCATCCCCGCCCCATACACAAAAAGCAAGGAGATGGGAGAGCCAGATGCGCTTTGGCCAGCCATGGCACTACTCCACACTTCATCCCACTTGTAGCCCTGTTGTCTCTCCTGTCCCCAGCCTGGTTTATCTCTTCGAAGATAATATGCCACTCTCTGGAGGAATATGCCACTCTCTGGAGGCCCTGGCTGCCTCAGATTTCCCTCTGACACTAATCTGCTAGGGACCCCTGGAGAGTTGGAACTCAAAGCCTGCTTTCCATAGCTGAAGGACAGACAGGAAAATGGCAGGCAGTCACCTCCCCTGTTCCCTGAAGTCACATTTTTTCAGAAGATGTGGGACTGCTAGACAGCCATTGCAGCAGAGAAAAAAGGAGGGTGGTGCTGAGCCATTAGGTTGGGACTGTGGGAAGACAGGACTGTGTCTTTATCTACAGCTCAACATTGCCAAGAGACATGACCCACTGCTCCAGGAGTTCCAGGAAGGCCCACTGCTCTTCCCACCCACCTACAAGTTTGATAGGCACTCCAACAACTATGATACCAGGTGAGGAGGAAATGGGTTCCTAGGAGACTGGAGGTCCAGCTATGCCAGACCTAGTGATGGGGAGGTGGGGGTTGTGTACATCAGAATAGAAGTGTCTGGGAAGCAGAGGAAGATCCAACCATCACCTCTCAGGAGTGGCATCTCCTGTCCCTCACCTGAGACACTAACTGTGTGAGCTTCCCAAATTAATCTGAGAGCAGGAGGAAAACCAGTGTTATCAAGAATGGAGTATGCTCATGGGAGGTTGTTGGAGAGGGTGTAGACCAGGGCTGAGGCATGACTTAGAGAAGGTACCAGTGCAGTCTGGGAACCTTTGCTTCTATTTCCCAGGTTCTTCTAGTCCTCAAACAGGGGTGTAGAAAGTTTACCTAAGCCAGTTACAGTAAGTTCCCTTGTACCAAACTGTTGAGTGAGTCAAATACTATGAGAAGATGAAAAACAGTAGAAAACCAGATGTGGTTTTGCACACTTGTCCTCAAACTTGCAAGGTGGAGTTCAAGGCCAGCTTGGGCTACTTGAGACCTGCCTCAAAATAAAAAGGGAGCTGGAGATCTGGCTCAGTGGCTAAGAGCACTGGCTGCTCCTACAGAGGACCTGGGTTTGGTTCCCAGCACCCACATGGCAGCTAACTGTCTGTAAATCCAGTTCCAGGGCATCTGACGCCCTCTTCTAGCCTCCACAGGCACTGCATGCATGCAGTATACTTACCTGCAGCAAAACACAAACATAAAAATATTTTTTAAAGAAGAGAAAGGAAGAGAAAGGAAAAACAAAACGATGAAACTCAGGGAGCTAGAGACACATGGCTCAGTGGTTAAGAGCACAGAGGACATGGGTTCAGTTCCCAACATGCACTGGCAGCTAACAACTGTCTGTAACTCCAGTTCCAGGGGATCTGATGCCCTCTTCTGACCCCCACTGGCATTGCACAACATAGGTGCACTTACATTCATGTAGGCAATACACTCAAAAATAATAAATAAAATGTTTTTTAAAAAATGAAGCTCCCTGGGTGTGGTGGCGCATGCCTTTAATCCCAGCACTTGGGAGGCAAAGGCAGGTGAATCTCTGTGAGTTCAAGGCCAGCCTGGTCTACCTAGTGAGTTCCAGGACAGCTGGGACTATAGGGAGAACCTGTCTCAAAAAAAACCAAAAAAAAGAAGCTCATAGAGAACAATACAGCAGTAGTGCATAGGAGGCTGCCTATCATGGAGCTTCCCATCATGAACTGCATGACCTTGGACAAGTGGTTTAGCCTTAATGTCCTCATCCATAAAATGGGGATAATTATACATACCTCATGGAATTGAGGGTTGGCTGACACCTTCATATGCTTAGCCCAGGGCCTGGTACCCAGTAGGCAAGGGTGATAACTATGATTGTTTAGATCAATATCTTTAGGTGGGAGTCTTACTAAAGAACTTTCCAAGAAGCTGAGAAAGGGCTAGGTAACCCCTAAATCCTAAAATAGAAGGGCAAAAGCAGTTCTGGCAACAGGCTCCTGACCCAGTTTAGGGCACAGATTACCTTAGGAGAGAGGGAGATACCAGCAGGGCAGCCCAGACCCATAGGAATAAATGAGTGAATAGGTATCTCCACAGCAGGTCATAGCAAAAGGTAGGACTATAGGCTTTGTTTATGGAAGTAGTTTGGCAGAGCTTCACTGTCCTAAGGAGAGGGGGAGCCATTTCAGGGCTGTGGAGCAAGAAGGGTACTCTATACAAGAAAAAGCAATGGACTCTGGAGACAGAGAGCAGCCTGGCAACAGAGTGAGCTGGAAAGGACGGAAGAGGACAGCTCTGGCTGTCTAAGTGGGGTCACAGTTGCAGGGAGACTGCCAGGCTCCATAGCCATCCATTGGACTTGAGGAGTAAAGTCCAGTGTGGAAGTCCTCAAGAATTAACTAGGGCCTTGAAGGCTATATGACCTCACTTGTGAATTGGAGTTATATAACTCAGCGGCAATCCTTAGCAAGTAGGATATAATTTCGCAAGAGTACAGTAGGGAAACTACCAGAAAACTGGAATTTTTTTTTTAAATAGTCTTTTTGAGACAGGGTCTCCCTCTAGCCCCAGCTTGCCTGGAACTCACTATGTAGAATAGGCTGGCCTTGAGCTCACAGAGATCCATCTACCTCTGCCTCTCAAGTGCTGGGCCTAAAGGCCACCCACCCCACTGAAACTGGAAGACTTTGTAAGCGGTTGGGTCTGGGCTAGAGTCTCACAGGGTAGATAGGCTCACAGTGGTACAGGCTGTTGAGTGACTTACCTAGTGTGAGCTGGACTTCAGTCTGATTCTCTGGACTCTGTGATGCTCTTTCTCTAGCTTATGGTGCCTCAAAACTCACAGCTTAGGCCTGAATACATAGCTCTGTGGCATAATGCTTGCCTAGCATGTATAAGGCCCTGGATTCCATCTCCATAACCACCCCCCATATACATATAATTCATAGCCAGTCTTGTCAGCAAGAGCATAAAAGAGGGAAGCATCAGGATAGAAAACACTAAGGAGCAGGTAGATGCTTATTTCCACATAATCATTCATTGTGACTAACATGGGCCTCTTTCCATGTGCCAGACACTGTGCACAAGAGATGGCTCAACGGTTAAGAATACTGACTGTGGGCTGGAGAGATGACTCAGTGGTTAAGAGCATTGACTGCTCTTGGAGAGGATCTGGGTTCAATTCCCAGCACCCACATGGTGGCTTGGAACCATCCTTAACTCCAGTTCCAGGGGAATCCGAAGCCCTCTTCTGACCTCTGCGGCATTGCACATCAAGGGTGCACTCATACATGCAGGCAATGCACTCAGATACATAAAATAAAATAATAAAATATTTTAAAGAATACTGACTGCCCTTGCAGAGGACCCAGGTTTGATTCCCAGCACCCACATAGTAGCTAACAACTATCTATAACTCCAGTTTCAGGGGATCCAATGCCCTCTTCTTCTTATTTTGATTTATTTATTTATTTATTTATTTATTTATTTATTTTTTAGTCTTTTTGAGATGGGGTCTCCATGTAGCCTCAGCTGGTCTGGGACTCACATTATACACCAAGCTAGACTTGAACTCACAGAGATCCGCCTGCCTCTGCTTTCCGGGTGCTAGGATTAAAGGTGCACACCACCACACCTGGCCCAACGCCTTCTTCTGACCTCCACTGGTATTGCACCACATGGGTGCACTTACATGCAGGCAATACACTCATATACATAAAATAAAAAATAATAGAATATTTTAAATACTTCTTTCTGGGGCCAGAGGCAGCTCTCAGTTCTTGTGGTAAACAGGGTTGAGCCCACTTGGGGAACACAGACATCCCAGGTCAGACATCATTTGTCCTAGGATATCCCCAAGCTTACTGAGTTCCCCTCTCCTGCCCTGGGCTGTCACTAAGCCTTGCACACACCATGTAACCCCAGGGGCTGGGAGATGGCTCGGTTGGTGAAGTGCCTGCTGTGTAAGCATGAAGACTTCAGTTCTGATTTGCAGCACCTGCCTAAAAATATGTGTTTGTAGCCAGGAGTGGTGGTGGATTCCTTTAATCCCAGCACTCAGCACTAGGGAGGCAGAGGCAGGTGAATTTTTGTGAGTTTGAAGCCAGTCTAGTCTACATAGTGAGTTCCAGGCCAGCTGGGACTACAGGAAGACCCTATCACAAAACAAAACAAAAAAAGTATGCCTGTAACCCAGGGCTAGCAAAGCAGAAACAGGCAGGTCTCTGGAGCTCATTGTTCAGCCAGCCTAGGCAATTGGTGATCTCTAAGTTCAGTGAGAGACCCTGCCTTAAAACACAAGGTGGAGAGCAAAGGAAAGAGACATTAGTGCCAACCTCTGACTTCAGCACACATGCATAAACCCATATGAACACCTTCATGTAGCCCCCCTTCCTGTCTCTCTGTCTCTGCCTCTCTCTCTCTCTCTCTCTCTCACACACACACACACACACACACACAAACATTAATAAAATAAATTGTAATCCCAGCACTTGAGAGGCAAGGCATAAGGCTCATGTGTTCTAGACAAGCTTGGGCTATATAATGGGACCCTATCTTAAAAACTCAGAGTTATAGCTCAGTGGTAGAGCCTATATGTTCAAGGCACTAGGTTTAATACCCAGCACTGCAAAACAAATCTGTAGTAAGCCTGTCTTGCTGTACTATCAATAACCAGGGCAGAGACCAGATCTGATTTATGTTCCGTGGTATGAAGACAGTGCTTAGCCAGTTTGAATCAGGAGCCTGATGTATTCAAGCCAGACTAGCAAAGGGATCTACCCATGGCAGGGAGAGCCAAATAATCACAATTGACATGGTCAGGAGTTAGCCAGCAGGTTTCCAGAACTCAAAGAAGTGCCAAAGGAAACTTGCAGCTGAAGCCAGGAAGGGTCAAGGAGAGATGGGTTTTTTTTGTTGGTTGTTTGTCTTTCTGTTTTTTGCAGTGTAAGGGATTGAACCCAGGGCCTCACATACACTAGGCAAGTATTCTGCATCTAAGCTATACCCCAGTCCCTAGGAGAGTACACTAACTAAGGCAGCAGTGCTGGCATAAAGAGGAGGCCCAGGCACTCCAGCCCGTTAGCAGCAGTGATGAGTGGCACCTTGAGAGGGATGAGACCCTGGCCTGTATAGCTCTCCTAAGTGACTAAGGGTAATTAATGCGTCTGTCTAGTTATACAGAGTGACTGTGGATGATTTATGTACATAGCATGGAATGCAGCTTTCACCAGACATGCAGTGTCCCTGAGCCAAGATGTAATGGGAAACAGCTCCATTACAGTGGGGGGGGGGGCAGGTAAAAGGGCCGAGGGCAGGGCGGGAAATCCTGTTAGAGTCAGGGATTGTACCAGATTTTGTTATGGTCACCATTATGGATGCAGGCTGCCTCTCCATGGGCAATAAGTGGAGGATATCAAAATCAAAGCTAGTCAAGACTTGTGTCACAGACACATTAAGTACATGACCAGTTAACCATTCTCTAGAGTTCTGTGAGAG